TGTCTCAAAAAAAAAAAAAAAAATTGTCTTTTTTAAAATAGAGGCAAACTGCCGAACCAATAAAGATGTCATATTCATATAGATTTGCAGAGTATAGATACTGCATATGATTTAAAGAATAAATTTTAGGCCAGGCATGGTGGGAGATACCTGTAATCCCAGCACTTAGGCAGAAGGATTGCTTGAGGCTAGGAGTTCGGTCAACTCCTGGACAACATCTCTACAAAAATAAAAGTGAAAATTAGCTGGGCATGGTGGTGCAGCCTTATAGTCCCACCTACATGGGAGGCTGAGATGGGAGAATTGCTTGAGCCCAGAGGTTGAGAATTACAGTGAGCTATGATTATGCGACTGCACTCCAGCCTAGGCAACAGAGGCTGAGGTGGGAGGATCTCTTGAAGCCAGAAGTTAGATGTGCCCGGGCAACGTAATGAGACCCCATCTCTACTTTTCTTTTTTCCAAAAAAGAACAGTTGTCTGCAGGACCCATTTCTTGTAGCTGCCTAGAACTGCGTGTGGCTTCTTCACCCTCTGTCTTTTTAGTTGAGGTAGCTATTTGTATGGTGGTACCATACAAATAGAGTGAGACCCTGTCTTTTTATAGAAAATTTAAAAGAAAAAGATTTTATCAAGAGCTCTGTACCTGTCTAAAACAGATGCTTCACAGAGGTAGTAACATTTGAAATTATAAGGATGAGTAGAATCTGCAGGTGTTTCTTAGTTAGGTTGTACTATCTAAGGAACCAACGGAAAATGCCTCTCTGTGAACTTGATGTTTATTTCCAGGTTAGCATTAAGGAGTCAAATAGGAAAGGAAGTGTGCTACTGTTCAGTTGTAGGGAAAAGGAAAAGCTTGAGGCAAATGCTGGAGGCTCAAGGAGCATGATACTTTCAGATTTTAAAAAATCAGTATGGGAAATTTATATAAGATACCATAGGTAGGTAGTCAGACTTCATAAAGACTTTGGTATACGTACTGTGGGATTGATTTTTTTCTTTTATAGAGGCAGGTGAAAACAGAGGACAGGCAAACCTGTTGTCCACAGTCTGTACAAGCACTGGGATAGGTTTGAGTTGAGACAGTCACAGTGGGTAGGAATACATGGGAAGGATTTTAGGGTGCATGTGTGCTTTTACAGGTAGAATTGAAGGACCCTTTGACTGGTCTTGGCAGACAGAGAGAGAAGTCTGGTATGAATCCTTTACTTGGGCAGTAGCTATAGCATCTTGAGTTACTCTGAGTGCTTGCTCAATGTTTTTTTTGTTTTGTTTTGTTTTGTTTTTTTGAGATGGAGTCTTGCTCTGCCGCTCAGGCTGGAGTGCCATGGCACGATCTCCGCTCACTGCAAGCTCCGCCTCCCGGGTTCACGCCATTCTCCTGCCTCAGCTTCCCAAGTAGCTGGGACTACAGACGCCCACCACCGCGCCTGGCTAAGTTTTTTTGTATTTTTAGTAGAGACGGGGTTTCACCATGGTCTCGATCTCCTGACCCCGTGATCCACCCGCCTCGGCCTCCCAAAGTACTGGGATTACAGACGTGAGCCCCTGTGCCCAGCTACTCAATGTTTCTAGTAGTGATGTTGACTTATAGTTGGGATGCTCTGTGTAATTTGACAGAAGAGGCGGGTGGCTTCAAACTTTATGTTTGGGATATAAAGTTGACCCCGTTTTTGAATTATTTAAAATAATTTGAAAGATTAATGAAAATGCATTTTTATAATTTTCATTATCAGTAAAACGTTTGACCTTTGAGTAATCAATGCTGTTTTTCAATTATTATTACAGTATATTGGCTCCAGGTGAACTTAAATATAGAAAAGAAACTACTTTTTAAAGTACATAGGGAGCTGACACAGTGGCTGACGCCTGTAATCCTAGCACTTTGGAAGGCCGAGGTGGGCAGATCACTTGAGGTCAGGAGTTCGAGGCCAGCCTGGCCAACATGGTGAAACCCCGTCCTGACTGAAAGTAAAAAAATTAGCTGAGCATGGTAGCGCACACCTGTAGTCCCAGCTACTCAGGCTGAGGCAGGAGAACCGCTTGAACCCAGGAGGCAGAGGTTGAAGTGAGCCAAGATTTGCCCCACTGCACTCCAGCCTGGGTGACAGAGCGAGACTTCATCTCAAAAACAGAAAAGTACATCAGGGTTGCAAAATCAAATGACTTGAAGGGCCAAGCAGGTGACTTAATAGAACAGCTAGGTTTAAAACAGTAAGGAATGGTGTGGAG